TTAGTCACCTTATCATCTCTAAGCCTGAGTTTTCTCATCTGAATCAAAGGTGACTCAAAGAGTCCCGCACGGTGGCTCACGCCTATAATCCTAGCACTCTGGGATGACGAGGCGGAGAATCGCGTGAGCTGAGGAGTTCGAGACCCCCCTGAGCAAGAGCGAGACCCCACCTCCCTCCCCGTCTCTACAAAAAAAACAAAAATTAGCCGGGCGTGGTGGCTTGTGCCTGTAGTCGCAGCTACTGGGGAAGCTGAGGGAGGAGCATCGCTTGAACCCAGGAGTTTGAGATTGCAGTGAGCTGTGATGACGTCACTGCATTGTACCCGGGGCGATAGAAAAAAAAAGTGACTCAAAGATTCTCAAGGGTGCTGGTGCCAGTGGCAGAGCATGGGAAACCAAGGGGAGGAGCTTCCTCGGCAGGGGCAACACATCCTGTGGAAGGATCCCTGCCCCGTCCTGCTCCCTCCGCTACCCCGCTTCCCTTCGCGAATTAAATGCCCGGGTCGGCCTGGCAGTTATTGCAGGAATCTGAGCGCAGATTTTCACAGAGGCGGCGTCCGGGAGCCTCTGAAGGGCCTTCCACCAGCCGCCCCACATGGGGCCCGAAAGCACGAGCGCGGCGGCTGGTGCGGGCTGGTGCGGCGGTGACCGCAAGGCAGAGCCCCTGGCAATCGCAGAGGCTGACCGTCCACCCCCGCTGTCCCCGCGGCCTCGGTCCGGGCAGGGGCGGGGGTAGAGGGGCGGGAACCAGGGCGGTCCCGGGCTTACCCTGCCAGCTCCGCCTCCGCAGCGTTGACAGGACTCGCTGCCGCCGCCAGGATCAGCTGCGGGGGACCAGAGGAAGAGGAAGGGGTGGAGCTGCTTTGCGGCTGGCCGCGGGGCCATCAGCCGACCACAGCGAAGAGTTATAAGGTGTCCCCAGCGCCGCCTGGGTCCCTGAGGGCCAGCCGGGGCCTAGGCCGGTGGGGGCGGGACAGGCGAACCGGCCCTGTCTAGGAAGCCCAGCAATGCCTCGCCATCGAGTGTCACCCTGCCAGAGCCACCCCAGGTCCGGCCGGGAGCAAGGACTGGACAGCTCTTCGGGAGCCCCCCGACTCCTGTGGGTGGGCCTGAGCCTGGGCCTGGCGCTGGCGCTGGCTCTGCCTGACTCCCTGTTTCTATGGGCCCCGGCAGCAGCCCACCCTCTTCCTGCCCGAGGCCATCCTGCCACGTTCAAGGCCATAGTGCCCCAGCTCCGGAATGCCTTTGGGTGGCGGAATCTCACCTGCCCAGTCTGCAAAGTCCTATTCACAGCCATCAACTTCGGCCTGAAGGTGAGCTAAAGGGGCTGCCGGTGGAGCAGGCCAAAGGGGGGTGGGGTGGGGACTGGGGCCCATGCGGGAGCCCTGGGGGGTCCCATGGCATTCCCCATGGAGAGGGCAGCATCTACAAGCCTTTACTGAGTTTGCTCCCCTTTGGGGACACCCATGGCTATGTGCCACCGCCATCCCATTGAGACCTTTGTGAAGTAGGAAAAGAATGCAGACAGTGCCTGAGAAAGCCAGTAGGTGAAGCAAAGGCCTGAAATGCCACAGGCCACTGGGCTAAAGAGGAAGCGATGGCCTGCTGCCTCAGTCACAGGGCAACATCTGGGAGCAGGGGGTGCACTGAAGTTCCTCACCATGGTGGCACTGAGTCCAACTCAGCCCCAGTTTGGATATGGAAGCCCAAGGGGTAGTGGCCAGGGGTTAGCCTGGTTCCCCTGCTCTCTCTGACATCTCACCACTGGTTCCTCCCACCACAGAAGGAGCCCAATGTGGCACGGGTGGGCTCCATGGCCATCAAGCTGTGTAAGCTGCTAAAGATAGCACCACCCACTGTGTGCCAGTCAGCTGTCCAGCTTTTTGAGGATGACATGGTGGAAGTGTGGACACGCTCAGTGCTGAGCCCATCTGAGGCCTGTGGCCTGCTCCTGGGCTCCACCTGTGGACACTGGGACATCTTCTCATCTTGGAACATCTCTTTGCCAGCCACACCGAAGCCACCGCCCAAGCCACCCAACCCCCCAGCCCCAGGCGCCCCTGTCAGCCGGGTCCTCTTCCTCACTGACCTGCACTGGGATCATGACTACCTGGAGGGCACAGACCCTAACTGTGCGGACCCACTGTGTTGCCGCCGGGGCTCTGGCCCGCCGCCCACCTCCCAGCCAGGCGCTGGATACTGGGGCGAGTACAGCAAGTGTGACCTGCCCCTGCGGACCCTGGAGAGCCTGTTGAGTGGGCTGGGCCCAGCCGGCCCTTTTGATATGGTGTACTGGACAGGAGACATCCCTGCCCATGACGTCTGGCAGCAGTCTCGACAGGACCAGCTGCGGGCCCTGACCACCATCACAGCCCTTGTGAAGAAGTTCTTGGGGCCAGTGCCAGTGTACCCTGCTGTGGGCAACCATGAAAGCACACCCGTCAATGGCTTCCCTCCCCCCTTCATTGAGGGCAACCATTCCTCCCGCTGGCTCTATGAGGCAATGGCCGAGGCATGGGAGCCCTGGCTGCCTGCTGAAGCCCTTCGCACCCTCAGGTACTCAAGGTCCACGGAAACAAAACCCAGGAAGGGAAAAGAAATGTGGATGAAAGTGAAAGGAGGGAACCTGGGGCATTGTCTCTGACTGCTCTAGCACGAGTCCTCAATGCTCTTCACGGGCACCTCCTAATCTGACCCCACTCTCCCAGCCACCATCCTTTGAAGGGCTGGCAGCACACCCTCTCCATGCCCCAGTCTGTGTCTTTGCTCATCCCCATGTCCCCACCTTACCTGGGCCCAGGTCCCAGGGAGATCCCCTCTGCATGGCCTTTGCTTCCCAGTCTAGTTCACTCTTGCTTCTCCCCTGAATTCCTAGAGCCCTCAGCCCTCTGAGCCATTCTTCTCTGCCAGACGGGCCCTATAATTAATAGTGTTTGGTGTTCAGCTAGAATGTGAGCTCCTTGAGAATGGGGATGATATCCTGTATGCCTCTGCCCTCCACCCAAATGCCCCACGCAGGACTGGGCATGCAGGACCAGGATGATGAACAAGTGTTGACCCCTCGCGTTTACTTTGTTTCAGAATTGGAGGGTTCTATGCCCTTTCCCCGCGCCCCGGCCTCCGCCTCATCTCTCTCAATATGAATTTTTGTTCCCGTGAGAACTTCTGGCTCTTGATCAACTCCACAGATCCCGCAGGACAGCTCCAGTGGCTGGTGGGGGAGCTTCAGGCTGCTGAGGACCGAGGAGACAAAGTGAGGGAGAGTGTTGGGAACACGGTGGTGGAGGTGGTGCGGGGGGCTGGGGGAGAGGCAGGCTCCGGTCGGGCTAGAGCACCTGTGGACAAAGAAGCCTGATTTTCTGGCACTGTTCCCTGGGACTTCAACTCACGGTTGCCCCTGGAAGCCCTTTCATTCACTTCTCCCCTCTCTGGCCAGGACTCTCTGGCCCCTTGATGCCCTGGAAACCACCCTTAACTCTCCCTCCAGGTGCATATAATTGGCCACATTCCCCCAGGGCACTGCCTGAAGAGCTGGAGCTGGAATTATTACCGAATTGTAGCCAGGTAGGAGGGAGATGAGGAGGGGAGTGGGGTTGGGGTGAGGGGATGAGGTGTCTCGAGGTTGGAAATTCCCTTGAGCATCTCACTATCCCTGCCACCCCATGCGGTGGGGAGGCTACTTGAACAGGTTGGAGAAAGAAAGCATTCCATCTCCCTAGATCTCTTCCTCCCCTCCCTAGAATCTTCTGAATATAATTAGTATGTTCTGGTCAGGTATGAGAACACCCTAGCTGGACAGTTCTTTGGCCACACTCATGTGGACGAATTTGAGGTCTTCTATGATGAGGAGACTCTGAGCCGGCCGCTAGCCGTAGCCTTCCTGGCGCCCAGTGTCACCACCTACATCAGCCTCAATCCTGGTAAGTGAGGCGGAAGGGAGCCTTCCTTACCCTGGAGTTGGTAGGATGGGGGGCCATGGGGGCGGGGGACAAAGGGTGGGCAGGATATGTGGCCCCTCCCTGGACTTGCCTTTGCTCCTTTCCTCTCCAGTCAGCCCTCCTTCCTTGCAGGTTACCGCGTCTACCAAATAGATGGAAACTACCCTGGGAGCTCTCACGTGGTCCTGGACCATGAGACCTACATCCTGAACCTGACAGAAGCAAACGTGCCCGGAGCCACACCGCACTGGCAGCGCCTCTATAGGGCCCGAGAAACCTACGGGCTGCCCAATGCACTGCCTGCCGCCTGGCATGACCTGGTATATCGCATGCGGAGCGACACGCAACTCTTCCAGACCTTCTGGTTTCTCTACCATAAGGGCCACCCGCCCTCAGAGCCCTGCGGCGCGCCCTGCCGCCTGGCTACTCTGTGCGCCCAGCTCTCCGCCCGCGCCGACAGCCCTGCTCTTTGCCGCCACCTGGTGCCGGATGGGAACCTCCATTCTGTTCAGAACCTGTGGCCGCAGCGGCTGTTCTGCTAGGGCCCCAGGGCCCGGAGTTGGGAAAGTTCTTTCAACGAGCAAACGCCACAGAGAGCTGCAGTTGGTTCAACCTGGCAGTATGTCTGGTGGAAGAGCCCATCCCTGGGCCCCAGGTACGCCGGGAAACAGCGTTCTTGGGGCTCCTTTCCTGGAGCTAGTTTAGCTGGACGTGGGAGTGGGCGTGGCTGGTCTGCCCGTGCCCAGTATCTAGACTGCCTTGGAGCTGCTGTCCTTCATGGCCCTGGAGCTGAGGTCTAAGCTGACACTACCCTGGGCAGACCAGACAAGAGCTATTACCCCAGGCCTGTGCTGCCCAGTGAGGAACCCGATACTGCTGCTGCTGCCTGATCCCACCAGGCTGTTAAAATAAAGATAAGAGACTTGGACTCCAGACCCCTCTGTGACTATCCCAATTTCTTCTTTCTAAGCAGGCAGGGCAAGGGGACCTTGGGAGCAAGATCATAACTGAGGTGCAGGACGATGGGGGTGATGGCATGGTGTAGGCATAGGAAGGCACACAGCAGTGCAGACAGACTTTATTAGTGATATCAGTACAGCAGAGGTGCCCACAGACCAGAGGGGAAGGGAACCATGACTAGACCAGTCCCCTCCCTTCTGTCCCTGCTGGGCCCTAGAAGGATGGAGCCTGGCCTGGACCAGTTCCTCCTGCTCCACCTGAAACACATGAGGATGGAGAGCCTGGGGCTGGCCTTACTTCCTGCTCCTCTTGTCATCACTCCAGTGTTACCACTTCCCTTGAAAGGATTAGATTTCTCCCTCCCCAGCCCCTAGGCAGGGAACCCCAGCTACTGGGGAGGGATAGCTTTGGGGGGGCCCGAGGCCTAGGAATAGCCTCTAGGACTCCTCCCTGCCCCACACCCTTTAGTTCCCTGGGGCCCAACACAAGCAGGTGAAGGGAGGATGGGGCTTCTTCATGGGGTATGGGCCCCCAACCGTTTGGGCTTAAGAGAGCCCCACAGCGACTGAACACCCCTGCGGACAGTCCAGCCTACACGCCGGGCAACAGACTCAGCAGGGGGTGCTGGGAGGCAGGAGGTGGAGGCCTGTGAGCGGGCATCCAGACACTTCTGGTAGCGAAGCTGCAGAGAGGCAGGTGGCACAGTCACTCTCCAGCCTGCTCCATGTGGGGCACACCACCACCCCCACCACCCCACCACCCTATGGGCTTACCATGCACGCAGCCTGCACAGCCTCTGAGAGGCTGGCAGCATTGGGCTCACACCAGAACATGTGGCAGCAAAAGGAGGTTGGGCCGGCAGCCATGATGAATGCAAACGTGTGGACATCTCTGCCCACAGCCAGGAAGGAGAGGAAGCGCACCCGACATTCCCCCAGCACTGCCTCTGTCTGGAGGAGGGAACTCAGTTAAACAGGAATACCCTCTAGCCCTCTGTGTTCCACTGAGGCACATCCATCTTATTGGCAGTTCTTCCCTTCAGCCCTAATCCCCTCCCCTCCACAGGAAGGCACAGCCATGCCTTCTCATACCCCAGCTCTTTACCTGCTGGTGCAAGATGGTAAGGGTAGCAGGGGCCACGCTGACGTGACTTGGGGTCCACTGCTCACGGCTGCTGGAGGACAGGACTGACTCCAGGGCCCCATTAATGACATCCACCCCTAGAAGATATGGACATAACGTGACACCACTGAGGGTAGGGAGAAGCTACCCCAGCTCTACCCGAGACCTTCCAGTTCTGTCCAGTCAAACCCAGGGCCTTCGCTCATCCCCACTTCACCAGCCTACAGGACTGAGGATGATGCTGTCCAGGTCGCCCTTCCTCAGGGCTCTCCTCCTTGACTTCAGTGAATTGACACTTTGCTGTTTTTTTTCTATCTTGAATCCTAGGCTTAGTTTTCTTCACTGACTCTGCCTCTTCCTCCAGCCTCCTAAGCTGACTGACCCCTCAGAGTTCTGACCTCCCCAAATCTTGCTCTCTCAGTGCTCATCACATTCAGACACCACACTGCTTCATGCCACAACAAGGACTCCCAAATCGACCCCTAAGGCCAGTCCTCTCCCAAGACCTAATCTTTTTTTTTTTTTAAAGATATCCACTTGTACTCTGCTAAGTCATTACAGCATATTATCTCCTTCGTGCCTGAACAATGTCACAATAGATTATTTAGTTACCATTTTAAAGATAAGGAAACTGAAGCTTAGAGAGATCAGGTAATGTGCTGTAGGTCACACTGAGGAATGGGGATCTGAACTCAGGCAGTCTGATTCCAGAGCCTGGGTTCTTAGCCATGCCTTTCTGCTACCTCTTCTCTATACTTCTAGTTTTTGGAACTATTATAGAAGGGCTTTCAAAACCTTAGTTCTACTCAGGAATGTCTATAATGTGCTCCAGTGCCAAGGAACCCAAGGTTCCTGACTTTTAGAGCAATCAACTTTCCCTTATAAAGCAAGTCTCCTCCATCTTGAACTGCTGTTAAACATTCTGCTTGTGCATCCTGCTTTTGCTTGCACTCAGCAGCGAACCAAGACAGAAGTATATGGCATGGCGAGGCATGAGTTCTAGTCCCTGCTGTGCTCATGAACGGGCTGTGTCACCTACTACATCTTCACACAGTGCCAACACAAAAGGCATATGCCTCTATGGTCCACTCCCAGACTCTCTACCCCTTCCAGTGCCTCTCAGCTCCCATGAGAAGCAGACCAGGCGGACCTTTTGTGGACAGAGGACAAAGCAGAAGACATGTGTCTTCCTTGAAAGTCCTCCCCCATCTTGGCCTTGCTCATCTTACCTCTGGCTGGATCAAGGCCAAACTCCTCTCCCAGGCATGCAAGTCCTCCAAAAACTGGCCTCATCTGAGCTGTCAAGACTCATATTTTACTGCTCCCTGAGCTTCAAATGATTTTCATAGCATTTATTAACATCTAATCTTGGCAAGTGGCCTGCTAGGCAGATGGGGAATACAAAACAAGAGAAGAGGATGCCCTCAAGGGACACAGACTGCAGCTAAGGGAAAAGCCTCTGTCTGGAGTGCCTCCCAGCCTCCACTCCCCGACTGTCTGAGAAACTCCAGATTCTCATCCTTCAGGGCTCCAGGGCTCCACTCAAGTCCTGCTTGGGAAGCCTTCCTGCTGCAGGGCAGGGAGCGGACAACTCTGAGACAACTCTTACTACAATATCTTGTAACTGCTGGAAAACCTTTATCCACACTGGGCTGTGGCCATCTCAAGAACAGAGACCAAGTTTAATTCATCCCTATGTCTGAAGTCCTAACACAGGGTTTACCTGCTGAAGGAACTTCAGACACATGAGCAAGTCACCCTCAAGGCAGCATGGGCAAATGCACCCACACTAATAAAACCAAATGACACAGGAGTCCACAGAAAGATGATGACACAGGCAGGAGTGGATGGGCCAGGTTAGATTGCCGAGGGCTTCAAAAGCAAGGCAGAGGGGTGTGATGTTTATGACATTTAGGCCAGGGCCATGGGAAGTCTCACTGCTTATGGGTGTGGGAGGGACATCAAAGTCAAACTGCTGAATAGATGAGGCTGTGGGGCTGGAGTCTAGCCTCAGTGTCGGGAGGTTTCACAGAGAAGTAGCAAAAGCAGTAGAACAACATGGTCTGGAAAAAGGCTGTTAGAAAGGCCGTCAGATTTGGTAACAACCTAGGACTGAGAACTATACCCTGACCTCTAGCTTCACATTCCCAATCCCCCTTATCCTGCTGTGCCTTTTTTCTTTTTTCATGTCAGTTGTTGCCTTCTAACACACTAGTTTACTTATTTTATTGTCTGTCTCTCCTTGCTAGAATGTAAGCCACATGAAGGCAGGGATCTTTGTCAGTTATGTTCACTAACATATGCGAAGAACCTGGAGTAGTGCCTGGCACAAGTCTGGCACTCGATCATTTGTTCAATGAATGAAAGATTAATGAATGAATACTGTAGCTTCAGGAGGGGTCAGTGTTAAGAAAGGTTAAAAAGGGAACATAAGATAACTCAAACAGAGCAGACCCATGGAGCTGATGGGGTAGTCAGGGCCGCAGGCAGCTGATTTGGCATAATGAGGACCTGTGTAAGTTGGCAGATGGAAAGGAGCAGATACGGGAGTGTGAGTAACAACTAGAAGAGCCAACGGGGTTTTGAAGTTGAGAGTGAGGAGGAGGAGGGAACAAAAACAAAGTTGTGGGGGTCAGCCAAGCCTCCCTTGTCTCCCTGAGCATGCTTTTCTCACTTCCAGCTCCAAAGCTTTGCTGGCCCCATTGAATCCAACTGGAATACCCACTCCTATCTGCAAATTTGAGCCTTCCTTCGAAACCCCAATTCAATCCCCACCTTTTCTAAGGGCTCTCTCTTTGAATGTAATGTTTTGGTCATTAAAATCAGCATGTTATAAGGGAAAGAGAAGAGGATTGAACATGACCAGGGTTTGAGTCCTAGGTCTACCTTTCCTGGCCATGTCATCTAAGGCAAGTCTCATTCATTCACTAGTTTGTTTGTTTATTCATTCACCAAACATTTCTTGAGCACCTCCTAAATGTCTTTTGACATGATACCCAACCACTCCTTGAAGCAAGCAGTCTTTTTCCTTCCTCCCATTGCTCTCCTGTTCTCACCGTCCTTGGCAATTTCACCCCCTCCCATCCATTAAATTTTGGAGGCCCTCAAGGCTAGACCTACCCTCATTTTCCTTCTCACTTCAGGCTGCCCACTTTTTCCAGAGTCAGGAGTCATGCTACTCCACACCCATGGCTTTGATTACCTCTGTAACCCGATGATACCCACACTTCTATCTCCAGCCCAGATTTCTCCTCTCAGCTCCAGACCTGCAAATCCAGCTGCCAACTTGACTTTCCCACTCAGTTTTCCCAAAGGCACCTCAAATTCAGCAAATTCAGCATGTCCAAAACTGAACTCACAATCTCCACACTAAAACTGGCCTCTTCCAACATCTGCCACCTTTGGAGAGTGGCACCACTACCCAGCAGGCCTAAAAGCTAGGAACCCAGGAGTCATCCTTAATGCCTCTGTTTCTCACCCCACATTCAACCTATCACCAAGACCTGTTGACTTTAATCATCTAATCCTCTCTTGAACTCACATACTCCTCTTCAGCTCCACCGTTGTCCAAGATACTCTCATTACCGGCCACGCTACTAAAGATCCTCCTGACTGAGCTCCCCACATCCACCTCCACCCGCTTAACATCCTCCTCCATGGTATAGCCAAAGTGAGCTTTACAAAATCCAAATCTGATTAAGTCAAGTACACTCCTGAAGACTCTCTGATAGCTCCTTGCTGCCCCAGGATGAAGAACACATCATGAACGTAGCCTGTGAGGTTCCTGAAAGTCTGACCACTGCCCAGATCTTAGCCTCATCTTGCACCACTGGCCTTCTCGCTGCCAAAGTACCAAAGTGCCTCCCACTATGACCCTTGCACATACCATTCACTCTGCCTGGAATGATCTTTCCCTGTCCTGCTTCTAGCTCCATCCCACTTTACCACATTCGTTTCTGTTCATTATTTTTTTCATCTTAGTTCAAATGTTACTTTCACAGGGATGTCTTTTCTGACCACCCAGACCAGATGTTCCTCTTTTACATCTTACTACTTTCTTTCAATGAATCACTTGGTTTATAATTATAGATTTATTTGTGTGATTATGTGATTAATTTCCTGTTTTTTCCTACTGTAATCTCTATGAAAGCAGGACTGTGGCCATTGTTCTCCCAGTGCCTAGCACAGGTCCTGGCACCTGGTGGACTTCAAAGGTATTTGCTAAGTGAATAAACAAATAAATGACAAATACCATGAAAATGCTAGGAATATATGAGCTAACCAGATAGTCTCTATCTTTGTTTCCTTATCAATAAACAGGTGTTATCATAATCCCAACCTCATTGGATTATCAAGATCTAAATGACATAATAAGAGGAAATCCTTTGCAACAATAAAGCATGTGACAATTATGCTCACTGCTTCCTTCTCTAGATGCTCCCAGGCCATTGCTGGTGCTGTAATACTGAACCCAGCTCCAGGCTGCTGCCTGGTGTTTCCAGTCAGCTAACACCTGCCTCCCAACCCAACCAAAGCTTTTCCATGGGACGCGGGAGTGGGGTCTCCCTCTGTGCCTGGTTCAGCACCAGTCACATGGCTGACACTCAGTATAGGCGTGCTGACTGCTGTTATAAGCAGGACACAGAGTGCAGCTGGGACAGAGGTACAGAAAGGTGGGATGCATTTTGAAGGACAGGGAGACATCAAGTATGAGGAAAGTCTGGTAGAAGAAGCACTGGAAGGCAGAGGGAGAGGGCAGAGCTTTGGGATTGAGGTGGCGGTCCCTGGGTGAAGAACACACATACCAACAGGTTTAGCAACGGGCACATTTCCCAGGTAATAGACTTGGAACTTCTGTACCAACTCATTCTTAGGTGCTGGGAATTCCACTGTGCGAAAGAAGAGGAGGGTCAATTGTGGTGGCAGACCTTGCTCACTCCCAGTCCCCACCAACAGGGCATAAGCAGGACACTTGCCCAGCCAAGGCCCCACCTCCTTCCTTCCCCCTGCCTCCCTTTAACCGAAGTCCTCCACTTATTTGAGTATTCAGACTCCACGTGTTCATTTTTTATCATATCTGTCCAGGAGCTTGTGCCTCTTCTTGGGTTGCCCACCCCTGCTAACTCCTGGTGGAGTTTTGACACTGACCTTGGAAAGGGACATCCACGAGTTTAGAGTGGTCCAGAGAGAGTCCATTTACCAAGCAGCGGGCATTGCGCCGTTCGGCCATGATCTGAGGAAGGCAGAATGGAGGGAGGAGTGAGGGAGGGTCTATTAGAGCTTGATTGCCCTGGAGCCCCCCACCCCCACTCAGTTACTCCACCCACACCCTTGCAGAGCAAAGGTGCGGCTAGTCCAGGGAGCAGAGGGGGCCGTGCCTTAGAGCAGATCTCATGCAGGCTGGTGGCGATGTTCTTGGCGGGTGCCTCACAGCGAAACACGTGGCACTTGAGCATCTGGGTCAGCTTATCGCGAGCTACGTAGGCAAAGTCCCTGTTGGGGGAGGGGGACCTCAGTGTCTCCCAGCGCCACCCAGTGCGGAGCCTGGCCCCCACCCCACCCACATCCTCCCGGCCCATCACAGCTCCTCCGGGGCTTCTGTCCCCAGATGGTGTCCTGTAGGCGCTGCCTTCTGGAGGGAGGGTGGACAAGCAGGCATGCTGAGGTGGGGGTAATGGTTGAGCACAGCAGGGAGTGGGGGCAGGGCAGAAGAGGGGAGCGTGGGTGCTTGGAGGCATCTGGTCCAGGTGTGGGAGGGGCACAGTCAAGCCAAACAGGCATAATACCTCTCTCTGGGTCCGGCAGCACAAGAGAGGCAAAGAACAGGGTTAGAGAGGAGGACTCTGACTGCTGGATGAGCTCCCAGCCCCAAATCCCAGGCCCTATTCCCACCTTCCACTGTCCCGCCCGACGCCCCACACACGGATGCTGACGATGGGCTGGGCGTGCAGCAGTGCCTGGCTCTGTGGCTCCACCAGCTTCAGTGTCTCGTCCTCCAGCTGTAGCAGCAGATCCTTTCCCTGCAGGCCCGGGAGCAGGCACTCAGTGGCACCCCAGCTGAAAAGGTAGCTGATCTCTGCCACCTCCAGCTCAGGTGACATTAGCCACTGCTCTGGGACTCCTGCTCTGGCATCAGACCACCCACCCTCAAGGTCGAATGTCATCTCTCAATTGACTCCTTTTATCATCCTCATCGCTGTTGTGCTGCCGTTGCCCAAGGTCCCAGAGTCACTCATGCATCCCACAGCGCTGCCACTGGGGTGGGCCCACACCCCTCGCCCCCAGCTCTCTCCTAGGCAGGTCAGATCTCCCACCTGTCACGATCTATCCCCTTCACACTCCCATGGCATCACCACCCCAGTGGCTTAGGCCCTCACCTCCCCCCAGCCCCCAGACATGGGGTCATGCAGATTGTTTTTGTGGTAGGAGAGCTGACGGATGCAATTGTTGACTGCCACACTGCTACGTCCAGGGGCCAGCTCCTCCTCGGTCATCTCCACCCAGCCTAGGGAGCGCACGGCGAAACACTGCCAGACACAGAAGAGGGGCAGGAGGTAGAGGGTCTGAGCTAAAACTGCAAGAGTCTCCAGCACAGGACACAGAGGAGTTCCCAACTCAGAAGGTGGCGGAGGGGAGGGTGTTCTGAACTAAGACCGAGAAGCTCCCCAAACAGAATGCGGTTAGGGAGAGGGAGATCCCAGAGGATACCTCCATTAGTACAAGGAAGCCAAGCCTAGAAGGGCCTCCAACCAGGCTGCTAGGCTGGTTGAGTTAAAAACTGAAGTGCCTCCAGCTAGACACAAGGGCTCTGCTGAGAATGGAAGAACTCCTAACTCAGGAACTGGGGAGTAACACTGAGACCAGAGGCACCCCCAGAGCACAATGCAAGGAGCTATCCTGCACACAGAGGGGCCCCAGCCTGCAGAATGCGTGTTGGTCTTCAACAAACCTTGATCCCTGGGTTGACATTCCGTGGGGGAAGCTTCTCCTCCTCTTGGGGCAATGGCTCTGGGCTGAAGGCAGATGGTAACATTTGGTACAAGGCCCCTATACGTCGAGCTGTCCCCAGGCCCTTCCAAATAGATCCATCCCACTGCCAGACCACTGTATCTGGTGACTTACCTGAGGCTCTGAGCTGGGAAGGGCAATGTTCCCTCCTCAGGGTCCTTCAGTCCCAACTCCATCGGGGCCTCCTCACTGGGTTCATCCTTGGGAAGGGGATTGAGGAATCAGGACCAAATGATGCCCCTTCTGCAGCCACTCCCCTGGTAAAGCCAGGTCCCCTCACCCACCTTCCAGAACTCTCTATCCTCAAAGCCTTCTCCATGGGCAAAGCCTGTCCAGGTGAGCTAGGAGAAGGGATGGGAGCAGTGAGGGGATGGCTCATCCTGCTGCAGCAGCACACCCCGTCCACCCCTGGTCAAAAAACAACAGGCCTGGGAACCTCACCTGGGACTCCTCTTGGGGGCTGCTCCCCTGTGAGGGGGAGGCCTGGCCAGGGGGCTCCCACTGGGTAGTTCCTGTAGGGATGTGCCAGTAGTAGGTCCCTGAGGTGTCCTGGACCCTCATCCATCCAGCCGGCAGGTCGGAATCCGTCTCGAAGGCGTTAGGGTTCCAGAAGGAATCTGCCAGGTGGGAGGCTTGGTGAGGGTCAGCCCCAAGAAGCAGACAGCAGGCGCCTGTGCCCAATCCCCTCCCTGCAACCCCATGGTTCAGCAGAAGGGCTGGGGAAGGGCTACAGTACAACATGGTTCCTGCTTCCTCCTAGAGCCTACAGTCTGGAGTCACCACATGGGGGGCCACCAGTAAGGGACACGGCTCAGGTCTCCTCCTGGGCCCTGCTACTGGCCACATGTGGGGAAGAAGAAAGGCAGGAAGGAAAGAAGGAAGGGAGGGAGGGAGGTTGGGTGACCCCAATTAACCTCCTTATACATATCTACATCTCAGCATACATGAAGGTGAACACACCAGCTCCATACATGTACACACAGACACACAACATATATAATAAGCCTTACCACACACCTGTGCAGCCACAAACACCAGGGTGTGCAATACACAGAAAATGCCAGCACAGATGGCAGGTATCACCTACAGGTGCACACGTGTGCTGAGGCAAACACACACTAAGTCCAGCTGTACACTCAAGCAGACACCACAGACAGGGGTGTGTGCACATACAGCTGTATATACCAGCCCCTGCCACACAGATGTGCAGACACCACACCACAGTGACCCTGGACACATGTATGGGCACCACACATATAGGTGAACACACAGACACATGACATACGTCAACCCCTGCCACATGTGTGCAGACACCACAGATATTCACACCCTGACCCTTGCCACACAGATGCAGGCAAACATGTCATGTACATGCACACGTACTGCACATCTGTGACATACACCCTTGTCTGCCGGCAAAGCCACACCACCCCATCCCTGTTACCCACTCTGCTCTCCCTGCCAGCCCCGCCCCACATCATGCCAAGCCTCACCTGGGCTGTTGTCCTGCAGGATGATGGCCAGGAAAAAGTCCTGGGAGAACATGGCGCTCATTCTCAACCCCTCCTGCCTCCACCCTCCCTCCTCACAGCCCCTCCAGCCCAGCCAGCTGGGCTCACAGCCTGGTGCTGGGCTGCAGAGAAAAGCTCATCCCGCCCCCTTCTCACCAGGGCAGAGCGTCTGCCAGGCAAGATCCTCCTCCGCCTGGAGCTCACTAGGGAGGGGCCAGGACCACCACGCTGGGGAACCTCCTCGGGGTGGGGATGGAAGGAGGAAGGGGGTGCTCATGAGACCCCAGCCCCTCCTGCTCACACGTCTTCTTCTTCACCCTGGCTCCCCTCCCCCAATCCTGAACCTCCATCCCACCCTCCAGAGGTCATGTCAGTGTTATAGTCAAGCCCAGTCTTAGGGACACGAGGATACTCAGCCTCTGGGAATACCCCAGCCGCGTGGGGCCCTGCCGAGCCTACAGCTCTCAGCATAAACAGGGTGTGGCTTCAAGGCCTTCAGGGATCCCTTCCCTGCCCAGAACCTGCCCAGCAGTTTGAACCCAAGGGTGAGCCCTGAGGGCCTGGGCCCCAGAAAGCTTGAGGCTGGGCTTGGGGCTTCCCAGCACCAGCACCGGCCCCCCTCACCTGCCAGGGCCCAGCTAGGCTGCAGCGTCTCCTCGGCAACCGCAGCACCAGGACCGGCTGGGAGCGCCCAGGCTGCTGACGTGCTTCCCGTTGCCAGGGAAACCAGGAATCCTGACTGGTCCAAGAGGCAGCACTGAGGGACAGGCAGTCCCAAGACTCAGGCTGCTGGGCAACCAGACACAGAGGGGCTGAAAGTGGGCGTGGTTACACCAAGGTGGCTGCACACCTGCTGTGAGAGTTATTCAGGCAAGGTGCCTCACCAGCCTTAGCTTCCAAATGAGGTGGGCCCACAGACACCCAATGGGGAGGGGCTCTTCCTCCTACCACCCACTCCAACCTCAGACCCTCAGGAATAAGATCTCCAGTGGGCACCTGGCACTTGGCTGAGGCTCAGGGAATGCCTGCCTTTCCCCAGAGATCCTCCACTGCTTTCAGGGTTCTCCTGCCCAAACCTTCCAGGAACACCACACCCAGGGCCTCCGTGCCCTCCACAGCCACAGACTGCTGCAAGAGGGTCAGACATTTTTGGAATCTGGGGACTAGTCCACCATCTCCTGACTGAGTCACACTCACTAATCCATCTGCCATCCCTGTCAGCCTGTACTCCAAAGAGCTTCATCCTTCCGACCCGTCCTGGAGGGGCAGTTTCTCCCCCCTTGACCATATGGGAGGCCCTTCTGGAGCTTGGCACATCTCCCTTCAGGCACAGCCCACCTGGGCCTTTGCTTGCACACGCATGCACTTATTCCGGAATATACACCTTCACTCCCGCATTGATTCATGCGGGCATTCACGCATGAAATGCTCATGTATCATTCCTTCCTTCATTCATTCATCTACGAATGCCTTAGCAGCTAAGCTAGGCGTACTCATTTGCTGAGGAATCAGTGATTCACTTAATGCTCTCCACCCACGTCACTACCACAGTCCAGGCTACTAGCATTTTTCTACCTGGATCATTGAAACAGCATCTTAACCGGTCTCTCTCTTCCTGTCTGGTCTCCTCCAACCTGGGCCGCACACTACAACCCAAATGATTCTTCTGAGATGCTAAACTAATCAAGTTACTCTCCAGTTTAATCCTCTTAATTGCTTTCTCATTGACCTCAGGATAAAATCCAAATTCCTTCCCAGGTTTTACGTACTGTCATGAACCTCCAACTGTCTGCCTCTCAGCTATCTCTGGCCACTCCCCAACCCCCTTCTCTCCCTCTCTCCCCTCCACTCTCTCTCTTGGCTTGGGACATATCCCTTAACCCCTCCCAGCCCAGCCTCCCCTAGATCTTCACCTGGCTATCATCCACTTTTTCTTCAGCCATCAGTATATAGGTCACTTCTCAAAACCGATGCACTGCCCTCTCCCCCACCACACACACAGGCAGGGTCAGGGACTCCTCCTCTACCTCCCCTGCCTCACAGCTCATTGCAATGATCATAACCACCTGTTTCTTTCTCTGTCTCCTCACCAGGCTGTGAGGGCCATGAGTTTAAGAACATCTTTCCGCCACAGTATATATCTCCAGCATTTAGGACAAGGCCTGGTACAGAGTAGTAAAGTTCATTCATTCATCATTCGTTCATTTAATTCCCACATTCACGCATTTATGCATGCAGTCAAGAACTTGTGGAGATCCTAGGATAGGAAGGAGAAAATAATTTTTTCTCAGTACTAGCCTCATTCCCACAGGAGCTCAAACCTCCTCTATGGCCCTCACGGTCATAGGAACACAGTCACAAAAGAGTAGGCAGTCACTTGACCCCTCCCCTGGACTGGCCCCACATTCTACCCTCAACGCACATGGTCTCCACCAGTGCACTATCTTTGAGAATCCTCTCACCACTCCTAAGCCCTTGCTGAGGCCACTGCCCATGCCCAGCATACCACTCCCAGTTCTTCAGCAGTTCTGTCCTCCTACTCCCAGAATTAGGTGCAGCCACCCCAGTGACCACCCAGGGGCCACTAAGCAACCAGGCCTCTATCTGGCTGCTGACTCACAGCCCTGAGGGCTGCAAACTAGCCACCTGCAACCTGCAGACTGATGCAAGCCTCAGACAGACTTTATGTGGTGTGTACAATGCTTTTAAAAAAAATAGAATCAATTGCTAAAGTTTAGAAATTAAGATATTTGACATCGACATCTAGTTTTCAGTTTCCCTTGAACTGGCTCCATTGAGACTACATTTTCCCCAAAGCTGATCTCAAAAATAACCAGCTGGAGTGGAGTAGGGACTGTTCCCTTTAAAGGAGTCAAGGCAATGACCATGAAAGGCCACTAACAGCACAAGAAGAGAGTAATCAGACTTCGTCTTTGGTGGCAGTATTCAAAACCACCTACAAGTTCTTGCACAAACAAAACACAAAAACCCTCAAATCTGAATCTGATCATGGCTCTAGAACTAACTACCAATTTATAGGAAATCCCAGGAAGAGGAACATGTTAAATACCACTACAAGGAAAGAGTCTGAAAAATTCCAGACCATGGAAAACCCAGGACAAACAACATGATTCTTCAGTTAAAAAAATAAAATAAAATAAAATAACTGCAAGCAAAAAAAATAAAGAGAAAGAGTTGGAGGGGGAACTTATAGATTAAAAGAAACTTTAAGTAAAAGACATATCAATCATAGACCTATCTGGATATCGATTCACACACACAAACTTTAAAAAAATTGACTGGATATTTGATGATATTAAGGAATTATTGTTAACTTTTTGTAGGTACAATAATGGTATTGTGGTATTTTTTGTTTTGTTTTGCTTTAAAGAGCTTTATCTTTTAGAAATGCATACATAAACATTTACAGATGACAGTACTTGCTTGATAATAACCTAGGCTGGGGCCCAGGGGTGGGCGAGGGCGTACATGCAGCAAGATCAGCTTTGTATTGATAATTGCTGAAACTGTGTCATGGGTAAATCAGGCTCATCATTCTGTTCTCTCTACTTTTGTGTAGGTTTGATAATGCTCATAGCAAGTGTTTTGAAAGGGGATGGTGTGCAGCTCCAGGCTCATTGGAACCACGTGCTCCCTGCAAAGTTCCACAGTTTGGGGTCTGGCTACGGTGACTTCGACCTGGTGAGGATGGGAGTCTTTCCCGATCTTTACTTACATTCCCAGGAACTCCAGGGGTGTGGCCATAGCCCGTTATCTTTGCTCTTTGCTCTTCAGCTCTGTCTGTAGTTCTACATGACATTAGCAAATGTGGAGACTCAACTTATTTAAATAGGACACATTTAATGACCAATCCTTGGAATCCTAATATCCATTCTCCTCCCACCCCCAAAGAAGTATATGTTTCTTTTTTCTTTGTTTTCTAACTTCTAGTCAAAATCCTATTCCTGACTAAACTGTATCCTTGTGAGCAAGGTGCTCTGCACGGGGCATGTTGATCATAAGCACACAACATCCCCAGTTTTTCCAAATAGACCTGGCTGGTGGGGAGGTGCTGGCTGCTCCCTCCAGACCTGGCCTGTTAAAACAGGGCAGAGTGTCCCAAGTGCACCTCAGTGCATCGTGCTGTGTGCACTGGTGGCAGTGTAACATGAGGGTCAAGAGCTCGAGCCTGGGCTCAAACCTAGTTTAGATCTTAGTTCTATTGTGATCTCAGACTGTCTGTGACCTTGAGAAAGCTACTAAACCTCCCAGGTCTCTTTTCTGTCATCTGTAATATGGACATAATAACAGCATTGACCTCACAACATTATCATGAGGATTAAATCCAAAAATGCTGACTGAGCAGAGGGCCGGTTACCTAGTAAGTGCCCAATAAACAATTAGTCCACATACCAGCCCTGAGGGCGTGCATGAGGGACTGATCCACCCATCAGGGCATGCATGCTGGGAGATCTAGACTGACCAAGCACTCCGAATGAGAAGGTCTGGGCATGGCCTGCTAGGGACTGAGGACATACGTAGCTCTGCAGCTCCTATCAGGCTGGTGCTGGCCTCTGTGTGGAGAGGCCTGACCTCTGCCCTCGTGCCCTCCCACACGCCCATGTCGAGCTCCACCAGGTACCTGTGTCCTCCGGGGAGCCATAGGAGGGGCTGCCCTGGGATAAGGTAGCCCAGCTTGAGTCCTCGTCACTGGCTGCACTGTTCCGCATGCCAAACAGGAGGCTGGCACTCTTGCTGTGTTCCCGGGGGCCATCTGTAAGGGCCTGGGGCCCCGGGGGGACCTCCACACTCTCCAGGGGCTCTGGAAGCCCTGGGGGAGAAGACAAGTCCTCCTCCTCCTCATCATCATCCTCATCCTCATCATCCTCTTCAGCCTCCCCTGCCGCCTTCTCCTCGCCATCGTCTGGGCCCTGCTCTTGGGTGCTGATGATTAGGCCGGGTCCTCGAAGCCCTCGGTTGGCTGCATTGTGGGCTGAGAGCTCCAGCTCAGAGTACAGGTGTATCAGGCCTTTGGGGCCCAAGGATGCCATCTCAGGTTCCTGGCTGGCCTCCTCTGCCAGTGTCAAGGTCACGTTGCGATTCTGGTCACGGTGCGCCGTGGCAGCCCGCCGGAGCTGGTTCTGGCCCTCCTTTAGCCACTTGGCATTGGCGGGGCCTGGCTCAGGCCCACCACCCTCCCCCATGGCGCTGCGCAGGTCCTTGGGTCCCACAGCTGTGGCCTGCAGCTTGGCGTTGAGTAGCTGGTTGTGGGCAGCGTGCAGGGGCAGGGGAAGGCTCAGTGCGGGGCCTCCGTGGCTATTGGCGTTAATGGCCGACTGGCTCAGTGACGATGGAACAGACATGGCCTTGGCAGATCCTGCAGGGTTGGGAGGAGAGATGCTGTTGAGCCTATGGGCCAGGACAGCAGCCTCCCTGCTTCTGCCCCAGGGCTATGCCCTGCATCTCCTCATCTCCCCATGAGCTATTTTCCTGTGAGAATGACAGAGCTCAACTTCTGTCCCAGCATTATCACCCCCATCACAGCCTGCCCCATCCCCAAATCCCCAGCTCTGAGTTTTCTGGGATGGCACAGCTGGCGCCTGCTTTGCCCTCGCTCCCACCAGCAGAGCCTCTGCACAATGGCCCTCTGTGCATCCCCACCCCCAGCTCATCCAACTGGGGCATACTGTGCCAGGGACACCACTAGCATAGGACTGGCTCATGAGTTTTGGACACTGGATACTGACCACCCCTTTCCTCCTGCCATACTGCCTTCCCCGAGTCCCACCACTGTCAGCCCCCTAGACTGTGTCCCTATCACCGTAATCACTGAACTCAACCAGCCCCCAAGCCCACCCCACACAACTGTGAGGACCGGAGGGAATGAGCTGTAGAACCAGCCCCTTGGGGCATGGCACTGGGAAGGCAGGTCACAGAGGAAGGGCCCTCGGCTCCAATTCATGGCTCCTTTGGCCAGCTGAAGCTACATTTGGTGATGATTTCTATGAAGTCACTCCCCTCAGGTACCAGTGCCCCTGCCAGCCCTCGCAAGGCCCCATTCTGGGTTACTGCAAGAACCTTTGATCTGGACCCTCCAGCCCTTCAGGTCTTTGCCCAAATGTCCCCTCCTCAGTGAGGCCTTCCCTGAACACCCATTTTAAAACTGCAGGTTACCACGGGCCCTCATCAGCAATCCCCAAACTCTTCCCTAGCACCCTCATCATCTGACAAGCTCATTTATTATTTACTTTGTCTAATTATTGTCTCCTCATTTATAATTTCCATGTTAGTGACGATTTTGCCCTTTTTATCCATACAGCATGCCCAGTGCCTAGCATAGTCCTGGCACAGAGCAGGAACTCAACAAATATTGTTGAATGAATGTATGACTCTTGCCCACCCCCATCTCCTCCAGGCCCATTTGGCATCTCCTTTGCCAGTATCAAAAAACGCTGGTTAAAACACTGTGCCTCCACCGTGGCTCATGGCACCCTGACCAAGTGCCAGCTGCCCTCCAGGTATGAGGATCTCCTGTTCCACGATGACAGCCCACCCCTACTGACCCCTCGGGCTCCCTCCTCACAAGTCCTGTGTGGGTCACCTTCTCCACAGTGATGTGAGCCCTTCTTATCCTTCCAGCCCACTCACCCTCAGGCCCATCACATCCTCGCCATTTTCCCTGACCTTCCACCACTCTGCTGCGTTCATACTGAGCCCCCACCGCAACCCCTCCCTCAGACAGCCCTCCTGTATTACTCTCTCCTTCCCAATATCTCACTCAGAGTTCTCTCTTCCTGCCCGGGCCTTCCCCAGCCCCCACAATTCTCCCTCATTGACCACCTCAAAGAACACTGCAGTGCTTTTTTTCTGACTCCTGCTGCATGGCCTTCTCCTTGAGAAAGTTCCCTGTCTCCCTGTTCCCCCACTAAGGAATTCTTGTTCTCCCCGACTCCCCACTGCCCCAGTTCTCTGAGCACAGGTGCTACGGGCTGCCTGAGCAACCCCCCCAACCAATCTCTTCAGGTGTGGCGCGTGGTCCTGAGACAGGAGCCACAGCTCTCTGTCATTTCTAGCTCCTCAGACCCAAGCACAATGCTATGCGTACATCTGTAAAGTGAAAAAAGGTTTCTGTCCACGTGTCTGCCCCATGTGGAATTGCTGGTCTGCTCAGTGTGGCTCCACCTGGCCAATGAGAACACTCATGGTCATTGGAATAGATGAAGAAAAAAATAGACAGCTCTGCCTCCACCCAGAACCACAGTAATCTTCCAAAAATGGAAACCAGATTGTGTCACTCTGGTTCAAAAAATTAGAGGGCTCATTGCTGCCTTTAAGATAATGTCTGAGCTCCTTAGCAGAACACCCAAGAGCCCCCTAAAACTGACCCCTATGACCTCTCAGGCCTCCTCCCACTTCCTGCCTCCTTCATACCTTCTGCTCCAGCCACAGGAACGTGCAGTGTGGCCTATTTTGGAACACATCACACACTCTAACAGCCCTGGTTCTTTGTTTACACTGCTCCCTCGGCCTGGAATCCTGTCTCCCTTTGTGAGAACCTCTGCTTATATTTCAAAACCAGGCTCAGTGGCCACAGCTCTTAAGCAGTCTTTCCTGTTCTCTCTCTCCTTTGTGTCTCACAACACCCAGTACCACATTCTATCAGAATATCTGAGACCATGACTTATTTAATTTCGCATTCCCATTTCCAAGGAGAGTACGCTGAGTGTCTGGCACAGAGTGGGCCATGATATGGAAGGAAAAGAAGGATGGAGGGGACAGACATGGGGTGGGAGGAACCAGGAACTAGGAATCTTGGAACTGTCTGGGAATAGATACCAAGGCTGTGTGGCCCTGTGGGCTGGGGATGGGCAAAGGGAGTGTTAGGGAGGGTGCTGGAGAATGAAGCGTCCCTGAGGGGGAAGCATGATGGGGCCGGAGTCCCAGAAAGGCAAGGGCTTAGTTCTAGGAAGAGGAAGGGAAGGAGTTCGCCTAAACCAACATCCTGGCTAGAGACGGTTCAACAGTGGCATGTCCATTAGTGTCAGGAGGTGGAAGACCCCATGACTCTGTCAAGCTCAGAGGAACTTAGGGGTGGTGAGCCCTTCTCTGAAGCAGCGGTGTATGGAGCCAGGTTTCTCAGAGGTCAGTTTGGGACCAACCTCCTTAGCACTGGGAGGCCTGCTCTGAAAAGGGCATATGCACTGTGAGGCTGGGCCAGTGAAGAGCCAGGCTGACTTCAGGGCAGCCCTGCCAATCTGGTCACCAGGGCAGAAAGTACTGGGAGAGAAAGGGGGAAGTTCTGCTGTAAGTGCTGAAGCCTGAGCATGTAGGTGGAAAAAGTGTGGTATCCAACACCTCATTTTTTTGAGGTCAAAAAGATGACCAGCTGCCCAATTTCTTCAAGAAGGAGTACCATCCCACCTCTCCACTCTCACTGGGGTTATCCATACCTGCAGCATCTCAAAGGATGCAAAGAGCCAAATGGGTTCTCACTCAAGGTAGGGAGCTGGGCAGGGCATGCAAGGCAGGAAATGCCACAAAGCCTGAAGAAGCTGGTAACAGACCACAGGGTTAGGTGGTGAGTCTTGCTCAAAGTCAGGGGTCTTCTAACTTGACAGCTTACTATATGCCAGGCACTGTGCTCGGCACAGGGGAGAGTGATGAATAATAAAGAAAGTGTTCTTCCCCTCGAGGAGCTCACAGTCTAAGGAAAAATCATCACTGAACAACCCATTACAATGTAATGTCATTCCAGTAGTGCCTGGCACCCATAACCAGTCCCTATTTTTTGAATGAATGGTTGAATATTATGATGGGGGAGGAACAGGGCATTACAAAAGCCTGGGGGTTACTCTAGCCCAGAATCAGTGAAGGTCTGTCTGAGAATGGAGCACAACTCTCCTTGGACCACTCCTCTCAGGGAATGATCTCCACACTAATTCACAGAGGAAAGGGAAGCCATCAGTAGGAGAACATCCTCAAACATGCAAACCTAGTAACTTCAGCACCTAGCTTCTTCTCTCCTTTTTCCTAAAACCAATTGCTTCACCTAAAATTTCGATCCCTCCTGGCATGCCTTTTTAGGTATTTTACACCACTATTAATCCATTTTCTCTTCTATGTAACGACCCCTCCTTCTCAATAGGATACACTATCTCCCAACTTGAAAACAAAACATTTCTTGACCTGACGCTCCAGAGCCACTCACTGCTCCATCTCTTTCCTCCCCCACACAGGCAAACTTCTTGAAAGAATTGTCTCTACTCCATGTTGCCACTTCCTCACCTCCCACTCACTCCTCAACCCTTTCCAAACCAGCTTCCTCTCCCTGCACGACTCAGTGACAGCTCCTACTGAGGTCAACACAACCCCTATGTCATTTAACCCAACAGACTCTTACAGTCTTCATCTTGTTTGTCCTCTCAGCAGCGTTTGACCCCATGAATCTCTTATCCAGCTTTCACCGAGGGCTTCCACACTCTACATTTCCCGGTTTTATTTCTACACTTCTGGTTACTGTTTGTTGGCTTCTTCAACTCCTTTGCTGGCTCACCTTCCTCCACCAGCCATTACATGCTAGAGTTTCTCATGGCCTATTCTTAGGCCCTTTTCTCCTTCTCATCCTGTATTCAATATAGGTGTTCATTCATGCCCACAGCTTCAGTTACTACCTATACACTGATGATTTCCAAATTTATGTTTCCCTTTCGGACCCCTCATCTGAGGTCCGAACACGTACATTCAACTTTCTTCTCCACCACCTGCACATGTGTGCCTCAAAGGCCTCTCAAACTAACATGCCCACTCGTGTTTCTCACTCCCACCCCCTAACTGGTCCTCTTTCAGGATCCTGGCTTGTGGAATGATATGACCACCCATCCTGTTGTGTACATCCTTCTCCCTCATTTCCAATATTCAGACCATCCCAGGTACTGATCATTTTCTCTCCAAGAAAATTTCTGGACTTCATCTACTCTCCACATCCATTACCATAGCCATCTACACCAAGGACAAAAACCTTAAGACCGAAATTGTTAACACAGCCTAAACCGCCCCGCTCAGTCTGGCCCTGCCTTGTTCTCCCTATCCCCAGCTTCAGTCACTCTGCCCTCCATCCTTGGTGACCTTCTTTTGATTCCTCGAAGACATCATGCGCTCCCCCTACAAAGTGTTATTTCCCTTCTGCCCGGGACCTTCTTCCTTTACTCTCTCAGCCTAATTAACTCCTACTCATCCTTCACATCTTAGACCAAATGTCGTATTTCCAGAGAAGCCATCCTTGACCCTCTCTCCGTATCCCCCAGACCAGTTTAGCTGCACCATACAGCTTTCCTTTGTGATTTTTATCACATTTTTGATGTTATTCCTATTAGCTTTCCCTCCTAGATTGTCAGCTCTGTGGGGACAAGGACCCAGTATATTTTGATCAGAATTATATCTTTAAGCAGTGCCTGGTATATATTAGGGCTCAAATCATATTAGTTGAATGAATGAGTCATCAGATGCTTTTTTTTTTTTTTTTTAGAGACAGGGTCTCCCTCTGTCGCCCAGGCTGGGTTGCAGAGCTCATTGCAGCCTCAAACTCCTAGGTTCAAATGATTTTCCTGCCTCAGCCTCCCAAGTAGCTAGGACTACAGGAGCATGCCACCACGCTTTGCTAATTTTCTTTTAGAGAGATGGGATCTTGCTATGATGCCCAGGCGGGTCTTGAACTCCTGGCCTCAAGCAATCCTCCAGCCTTGGCCTCCCAAGTGCTGGGATTACAGTTCTGAGCCACCATGCCCAGCCAGACAGATGCATTTTTTAAAGGATCACTCTGTGTGCTGTGTTGATAATAGTTAAGGGGAGGTGGGCAAGAGAGCATGCTATTACAGCAGTCAAGGAAAAAAGGGTGGTGGCCCAGATTAAGTTTGATAGCAGTGGGGATGGAGTGATACAAACGAATTTAAGAAATATTTAGGTAGTGGACATGACAGAACGTGGTGAAATTAGATGCAGAGGGTGAGGGAGAGAGGTTAATCTCAAATCTTGCCCAGGATTCCAGTTTGGGTGACTGACTGGAAAGTAGCCATTTCTGAGATTTGCAGGAAGAACAGATTTGGAAGTAGGGTAGAGAAGAAACCAGGGAAGGCAATTCAGTTTGGGATCTGTAAATTTGGAATTCCTGTTGGTCTTCCAAGGGGATGTCAAGAGGACAGCTGGATATAAGTCTGGTTTTCAAAAAAGAAGACTGGGCCAGATACAAAAATTTGGAAATCATTAGCATATATATGAAATTTGAAGCCTTGGGAGTGAATAAAATACCTGGGGAGAAAGGGCAGAATTGGAGAAGACAGCTCAGGACAGAATCAAGAGCCTCACCAGCATCTAAAGAGAGAAGAAGGAGGAAGCAAATGAGATTGAGAGGGAGCAGACAATGCCCTAGGAGAGAAACCAGGAAAACGCTTCAAGGAGAGTGAATTGACATACACCACCGAATACTACTAAAAGGTAAAGGGGATAAAGGAAAGTGTCCATTGGAATTTGCCACACCGAGGTCTCTGGTGACCTTGGTCTGGACAGTTCAGTGGGTGTCAGGAACAGAAGACAGAGTGGAGTGGTTTTAAGAATGAATGGGAAGTACGGAAATGAAGACAGCAAGTGTAGACAAGGTTTTGACTTTGAAGGGTGAAGAGAGCTAGGACTATATCTGGAGGGGCTCAGAATGCAAGAGACACACCGGCAGATTCAAAATAGGTTCGGAATAACCTCTGAATTGGCTCTGGGAAAACTGCTTTAATGAGTGCTAGGCCTCCAGCTGAGCTGGGGACACAGCCGCCCCAGGGCACACCCCTCGGTCACTGAGGGCAATAGAATGTAGCCTGACAGATCCCAGGCCTGGGACCCCTGCTAGCATCTGTCCAGCCTGCCTCCCCACCCCACCCTGCATCCCTTCCCAGCCCTTGACCTCCCCTCCCCCATCCCCACCGCCCCTCGCCTCGCGTCCTCTATACTCGCCCCCTAGTCATCCCGGAGGGGCAGGAGGTAAAGATCAGGGGAGGGGGCGGTGTGAGGACCGAAGCGGACCCTGCGAGGGGGGACAGAAGGGCGGTCTGAAGGCGCGCGGTGGGAAGGCGGCCCGGGGCTGGGGGGGGATGGGGCCTGGCTAGGGGACCCCAGACCGTCGCGGGGAAGGGGCTGCAGGGTCCTCCCGCCGCTGGAGGTCGGGATATAGCCACTGGGACTGGGCCCGGGCAGGGACAGCTCCTACCTGCGCGGCGCGGCCCCAGGCCCAGATGGCGGAGGTGGCTCAGGCTGCGGGGCTCGGGCTCCGCCGCGGTTTCTCCATCACAACATCCCCCGCCCAGGAGCGCGCGGGCCGCGGGGCCGCGCCCCGAGCGGCGGAGGCGCGCGCGGAGGCCGGAGAGGCGCGCCATCTTGGGGCGGGCGCGGGAGCGCGAGCCCCTCGGGGGTACCACTTGCCGCCGCTTGCTGGGGGTCGCACCTTCCAGGGGACCCTCGGCCCTCGGTGAGCCCCACGGCCTAAGCTCCCTCACCAGCCGACATCCCCGCCCCCGGCTCCCTGGGACCCCCGCCCGGCCGGCACCGCCCTCCACTACGATACCACAGACTCACCCTGAGCGCCGCGCGGGGCGACGCGCGGACGAGGCTGGAGCCCGAGTGCCTGGGGCCGTGCGGGGGCCGCGGCCGCGCCGGGAGGGGCTCCGCGCCTGCAGCCCGCTCCGCTCTTGCTGCAACACTGCCTGACGTCCTGGTGGGGAGGCAATGAGGACGCAGCGTTACTGATAATAACAGCTCGTATTTATTGACCGCCTATACCGCGTCAGGCTCTGTGTTCAAACGTTTCCATGCATTAATCTTCCCATCAGCCCTGTGAAATCTCCAGTTATAATCTTGATTTTTCAGAGGCAGATGCTGAGATTTAGAAATGTAAAGCGACTTCCCCACAGTCGCAATAAGTACTGAACTCGGACTGGAACCCAGATGTTTCTTAACACCCTATTCCTGCTGCTGAGCATAACGCTGTGACACCAGGGCCTCGCAAAAGTCAAGAATAAATTGCTCCCCGGGAAAAAATTCACAAGGAAGGGGAGACAGCGAGTGGAAAATGTCAAGGAGGGGATGGAGGGGTGCAATATTTACCGCAGACCCTCCCTGGATAGCGGGATAGAGCCCAGTGGTCAGATCAGTGACCCAGAGGCCATCAAGGATGACAAGGGCTATGTCACCATTCAGAGAGCCCCTAAAGGCTCATGCAGAGGCAGAGGTTTTAATTCGTTGAACCTGTTTACCTATTCAACGATTGACTGGACATGCTCTCAAGGCACCTAAGACTAAAGATGTCCAAATCTAAATTTATTATTTCATCATTTTTTATTTGTCTTCTAAGGAATTTCACTGGGGTGAGAAAAAAAAAAAAAAAACCTTTCCCAACACACACACGTGCACACACACACACACCCAGATTGGACACAGCTCCACATCATCCATTCCAATGAATGGCACCACCAACTACTAGCTTGCTCAAGCCAGAAGCTTCAAGGTCAGCTTCGAATATACTTTCATTTGACTTGAGGTGAATATAAATATTTTAACTTTTTATTATGAAAAATTCCAAATATATGCTGAACTATAATGAACCCTGATATACCCATCACTCTGTTTCAACAAGTATCAATTCATGGCCAAAAGTTGAATATCGTTTAATAAATACCTATGATATATGAACTATGCATCAGGTCTCAAGCCAGGCCCTCAAGCCAGGGATCCAAAGATGAATCAGATTTGACTGTAACTCACTTGGAGAAAATAACATCTGACCTGGGTCCCTGAAAGATGAGCAAGAGTTACCCAGAAAAAGAAAGGTATTCTCATTCATTCATTCACCCATTCTCTTTCAACAAATAATTAATGTGTGAGGCACTGTCCTTGGTGCTAGGAACAGGTAAAGAAACAAGATACAGTTCCTGCCATCTTACAACTTGAAATTTAACAAAGGAAAGAGACATTAAACATGTAATTAGAAGTGTGATGAGTACATTGAAGGAGATGTACAGGGTGCTATGTGAGTGGGCTCCATTTGGCCTGGGAGGTTTGGCAGGCATTCACAGGAAGTGATACTTTATGAAGGACCCAGAGATAAGCCAGAAGAAAAGAAAATCATTCCAAGTGTCAGGAGAAGTACAGGAAGGCCAGCATGGGTGTGATCATGGAGAAGAATGGCATAAGACGAACTGGAAAGGGGAGAAGGTGCCAAATCAAGGAGGACCTTGTATGTCAGGCTAAGGGTTTTGAGTTTTAAGGACAATGGAAAATTATCGAAGGGTTTGAAGCAGGAGAGTGGCATGTCACCCTTGCATTTTAGATCATTTACAAGGAGATGGGATAGGAGGAGAGCAAAACTGGAAGTGAGGAGACCAGTTAGGAAGCAATTAAGGTGGTCTAAGTGAGAGATGACAATGGCTTGGACTATAGCTGAAGGACTAGGGATGGAGAAAATTGCATGGGTTTAATAAATATTCAAGAGGTAGAATTCACAGAAACTAGTGGTCAGCTGGCTATGGAATTGTGGAGAAAAGAATGACTTCCAGATTTTTGCTTGAGAAAATGAAAAAATCCATAAATATCACCCATTTACAGATAGCTTACCAAAATACTTGTCTTCCCAATGTCATTGAACAGGAAGGCTGCAGTATTCAGGAAAATATCCTCAGGTAACCAGGACACAGAAAGCATGATGAGGATGGGGAGAGGGGTCTAATTAGCTAGGGTGCAAAAGGAAAATGTGCAGTTCACACGGGCATCTTGTCTATGATGTTTTTGGCCCACACACAGTCTTCCTGAACTCCTGATCTCTTAGGTTTAAAAAGCCTCCTGACCAGTGAGGAATCAACCTGTGCCCTTCACCCAATTTTGTTTGTCTACTGTCATCTCTGCCTGCTTCTGATGATTTCTCTGGCTTAGGAACAACTAATAGCCTATGAACCAACTCAGGTACTGTGTATGGCTCTGACCAATGTGGGTCCCTATAAGGCAACAATCTTTTAAAATTATTACCTTGGACCTATCAGGAAAAACTTGAATTAGAAGGAAATCCATCCAAAGTCACTTACCAAGAGTAATGGCTTAATGCTATTTGGTTTGGTAGGCCAGCCAATTAGCATTACCAGGCAGTTGGCACCCACCTCACCTATATGAAAAGACAGAGCTTTCATGTCTATTAACAGTAAAAACACTTCTGGAGCAAAGGCAGATTTATCCTCCACTACTTATAAGTATTGCTTTGATATTGTAACTTTTCTTTTTTCTTCCTTTTTTTTTTTTTTTTTTTTTTTGAGACAGAGTCTTACTCTGACGTCCCAGCTAGAATACAGTGGCATCGTCGTAGCTTGCTGCAGCCTTAAACTCCTGGGCTCAAGCAATTCTCCTGCCTCAGCCTCCTGGGTAGCCGGGGCTACAGGTATGTACCACCATACTCGGCTAATTTTTCTATTTTTAAGTAGAGACTAGGTCACACTCTTGCTCAAGTGAACTCCTGAGCTCAGGTGATCCTCCTGTCTTGGCTTTCTAGAGTTCTAGGATTACAGGTGTGAGCCACTGCTCCGAGACACATATTGTAATTTTTCTTATATTAGATCTAATAGACCACCCTTCTTCCGGATGGTGGTTTTCATTTGGAAAATCTATAAAGAGGAGTAAAATCCTCCCACATATTACATGAAGTGGAATTTATAAATCAGATTCAAGACCTGGCAAAAACTATTTCAACATCCTTCTTCAACAGGACTACTCTTACACACACCTAGAAGAGCACGTAGGGTGAGAAGAGAAAAGGAATGAGAACTGAACTCTGGGAGTGCCAACATTTAGGATGCCAGCAAAAGAAAAAAGGGCTAAGAAGAAAGCTGAGAAGAAACGGTAAGAAAAGAATCAGGAAAGAGTAATGTCATGGAAGAAATCCAAGGGAGGGAAGACTTTCAAGGAGAAAGAAGTGGTCAACAGCATCAAATACAGCAAAGATTTCCAATAAGGTCAAGGCAAGAATGTATCTTTTGAATTTGGCAACATGGAGGTCATGGTTCCTCACGATTTGATCTGTATCAGCAGAAAATGGAGGCAGAAGCCACAATGCAATGAATTGAGCAAATGGAAAGGCAGGAAATAGAATAAATAAGTGCAGAACTCCCTTTTGAAAAATTTGGAAGAAAGACAGTAGCTGAAAAGTGATGTGAGGTTAAAGATTCTGTCTCTACAGTATGGAGGTTCCTTAAAAAACTAAAAATAGAACTACTATATGATCCAGTAATTCCACAGCTGGGTATATATCCAAAGGAACTAAAATCAACATATCAATAGGTCGAAGAGATATCTGCACTCCCATGTTCATTGCTGCATTATTAGCAATAGCCAAGCTATGGAATCTACCTAAATGTCCATCAGCAGATGAATGGATAAAGAAACTGTAGTATATGTTAATATACATAATTAATACTATTCATCCTTAAAAAGGGGGAAATCTTGTCATTTTTCAACAATATGGATAAACCTAGAGGACATTATGCTAAGTAAAATAAGCCAGGTACAGAAAGATAAATGCCATATGATCTCACTTATATACGAAATCTAATAAAGTCGAATTCATAGAAATAGACAGTAGAATGGTGGTTACCATGGGTTGGGGGGTGGGGAGGGAGGAAATGGGGAGTTGTTGATCAAAGGGTGCAATGTTCCAGACAGACAAGAGGAATAGGTTTTGAGATCTATTGCACAGCAGGGTGACTATAGCCAATAATAATGTATTGTATATTTCAAAATAACCAAGAAAGTAAATTTCAAATGTCTCACCATAACAAATGATAGGTAGCCAAGGTGAGGGATGTTAATCAGCTTGATTTAATCATTACATACTATGTACATATATTGAAACATTACATTGTATCCCATAAAGGTATAATTATGATTCTCAAAGATAATATTAATAATAATAAAAAAAGAAATTAAAAAATAAAATGAAGTTCATCTCTCAGGTTAAGAAAAAAAGATTCTGTTTGTGTCTTTTTTTTAAAGATGGTAGAAACTTGAACATGGGTCTAAAACTACCAAAAGATACCAGTGGAGAAAATCAATTTGAAAATAAAGAAAAAAGAAGATGAGAAATAGAGGGAGACACTAGAAGTGATGAGAGAGATGAAAGGTGTGGGATCAAGGTTCACAGAAGAATTGGACACCTTAATAGATGGAGGGATGGAGTGAGGAGAAGGGTGCATACAGGGCAGCTTAAAAGGTCGGAGCAGGGAAGGGGTCGGCATGTTTCATGCTCAGTGATACCAATATTTTCAAAGTCTTTAGTTGAGAAAGAAAAGGAAGGTTAGATAGGGAACGAGGAAAACCTCACAAGGTAAGTATTATCCTGTCATGAACATCTGTTGTTGTTGTCATTGTTGCTATCTGCCCACCATCCGTTCCGCCTTTTATTGGTAACATCACATCAGTTTTCTTTGGAGAAAGAAAACTCCCCACTCTTTGTCCATGTGGCTCGGGTGGGAATCATCCCAGTCCCACAACCCACTTCAGCGGTGGGCTCCTAACCCAGGATTGGCCTCCTAACCCAGGATGGCCTCTGCCCCTCAATTCAGAGATGGGCATATGATGAAATTTGTGCCAGTGAAAATCAGATTCAGGAATTTTTCTGAAACTACTGGGCAGGAGGTGCTGATAGAATGTAAGCTTAGTGGACATCTTGCCACTAGGAAGGATGAGCCTTCCTGAGAACGATGCCATCTCAGAGAAAGCAGAGCTATGGGATGGAAAGAGAGAGATGCCTGATAACATCAATTTAACACCTGTATTTTCCTCTGCCTGAAGTCAAAATCTGCCCATAGACTTTTCAGCTTCACAAGTCAATAAATTCCCGTTTTGCTTACACCACTTTAAATTGGGTTTTGTTGCTTGCCACCGAGAGTTATGATGAATCTGAATACACGAGGCAGATATTGCCTATTGGTGCTCATTTCCACATCCACTCTTCCACAATCTCTCCTGTACCACCAAGGCTGGAAATCTAAAAACCACATTTCTCAGACTCCCTTGTCAGCTTTGTTCCAGTTAAGACTGAAGGTGAGAGAAAGGGAAAAGCCCTTCCATATCTGGCACTGCCTCTGGCAACGTCAGCAGCAGTAGTTCCTGCCCAGCGGAAGTGGAGGTGGTTCCAGCAGTATCAGCAATCCGAGCTCCAATGGCATCAGCAGCTGATGCACATTTGTGCACCCCAGCTTTTCATTTGGGGGCTGTACCTTTTCTTCCGTTTGCACCTCTAAATGAAGATTTGTAGTAACTTCCTGATCTTTGGCTAATAACGTTTTCCCTCTTATGTGTCTCCAAACCTACCCACAAGTTTATAAGCAATTCCTTGTGTCCAGTCCTTCTCTACTGGGAATATCTAGAGTGGTTTCTGTATCTTTACTGAACAGTGACTGATACAATGCACATTCCTGTTTTGCATACACATGCACTTGTACACGTGTGCACATATGAAGCTCAGAGAGGTTGTTTGTCGAATCTACAGAGTTAGTAAGTGGCTCGGCTGAGACTGGAATTCAGATATGTCTGACTCTGAAGTTCTCACTCTTTCTCTGACCTACACTTGCTTTTTGTTGTTGCTGGCTTCTTTTCTTTTTTTATAGTTAGATAAAGTAGAAGTTAAAGGGGGCAGAGAAATAAAAGTATTGTTAAGAAAGTTGTTCAGATAATCAAACTTGATGTTCCACTTTGGCAGGAAAAAATAGCTTTTGAGAAATGGAAGACTGTGAGAGTAACAAAGTCAAAGAGCAGGAGGGTGGGAATGAAATTGTAAGGGAGGCAGAAGGATAAGGATAAGAGGTTGTACTCACAAGAGAGAGATCGGAATTTAAGGAATGTTTCCACAGGTGGAGGAATTGTGAGTGATAGGTACAGCCAGGATTTGGCCACAGTAACTGGGTGGCTGAAGTAGGAACTTCAGTCTGCAAAGCCTTCAGCATTGAGAAGACATAGGAGGGTGGTAGAGGATGGCCATAAGAATAGCAGAGAGAATGATATGGCTTACTTGCATGATGCTAAAAGAGAAGGAATTTAACCTGCATAGGAAGAGAAAGAAAAATGGGGCAGATTGAGTGGAACTCATGCAGATGCTGACACAGCTTCTTATCCATTGGGACAGCTACAGGGAAAGGAAGAGGAGCCCTGGGGCAGAGCTGCTCTCAGTTAAAGCTGGAGGTAAAGAGGCAGAGAAGATTATGAACCATGGAGTACGCAAAGATATAGGGAAACTTAGTAGCCATTGGGTGTGACTTTGAGAGGGTGCTATGGAAAGTTTGGGAAGAAGAGGCATAATGATGAACCGGGAAAGGGACCACAGAGCAGTTTGGAGGTGAGAGCCCTCATTCTCCCTCACCTTCACATCTAATCTATCAGCAGGTTCCATAGACTATGACTTCTAAATATTTCTAATCAGCCCACTTCTCTTCATCACCATCACCACTGTGTCCAGGGCTTCATGATCTACCACCTGGATCACAGCACCGACCTCCTCAGTGGTATCCCCACATCTGCTGAGGTCCTCTTTTCCCCACTGTGTGTAGATAGTCTGCAAAAAGCCAGTTTATGGCCTGGATCTAAGAAT